CCCCCCGCGCGGTGTGGCACGGGGGGCGCCGCCGGCGCTGTCCCACCTGCGTCGAAACAAATGCCGCGGTAATGCCTTCGAAATAGTCGCGCGGAGATCTCCGACCCGACCCTCGCCCCGCTCTGGGAATGCCATCCCACAACATACAAGGAGGGGTTGCGCCCCGCTGGTGCACCGACAACAGCCCCAAGGAGACACGTGACCACATTGTGGGTCTTAAACTTCAGCCACTATAATCATTTTACAAGGAAATTTGCTTAGCCGCTACTGTACCGTTTTCTGTCAAGACAGTTTACTTTCACACCGAATCGTTATATACTTTTTAAAAAGCAGCATACAGAAAATCCTGCACCCGCTCTCCTGGCCTATGTTTTAAAGCGCAATATAAAAAAAAATCGTGCGCAAGTAAAGTTACTCTTGAATATTTACTTAATTCCTAGAGTAAATAAAAAAGACAACCACAAGCGATTAAAAGACAGGGTTCACAATCACATGGGTGCACAAACTCGCACGCACACACACTTGCGCTGCCCTGCCCTCCACACACACACACACACACACACACACACACAGGCCGAAGCGCGTCGTCCGCTATATTCTTGGCAGCAGGCGAAAAGTGTTTTGTTGCCAGCGTGCTACAATTACGTTGTAATCTCAGCCATTTTCTCTCGGTGTGTCTCTCAGCTGAGCCACCACCGGGGCTGCCCTCGCGGGATGCCCCACCTCTCTTCACTCGCCATTTTATGGAGCAATAAAAACCCTTCCAATTTGTCGTGCCAAAGCATCTCGCGACATTCGAGTCCTACGTTGGAGAGGTGACAGCACAATCAAGCCGCCCCAAAAAATGGAAAGTTAGCGAGCATCGAATGGTCGGCTCAGGGACGACCGTAATATGTAAGGTTGATGCAACATTCGGCTAGTGACAGTGCAGGAACAAACAGGGCTGTTTTTTTGTCTACTTGGCAATGACAATATTTTATAGTGACTGGAAGTCAAGTAATACCATAATAACGCGGTGATTGTCACACCACACCGGAGATTGGTCACGTTCCTAAAGTAAACATAGCTACCCACTTTTCTCGATAACAAAATCAGGAAGGTGGTATTCCTTACAAGTAAACTTGTACGTGATATTCTGAATTATCATTCGGTGTAACATTACACCGATCAACTTTGTTCAAAAAGTACAAACTGAAGTGCAGTTATCATTCTACCTAAGCATGGTCCGTCCGTGACAATCAACTCCTGGCAGTCGGCATCAAAATATATCTATTTCAGCTATCGAATTCTGCCTATCGAACAAAGTTGATAACCATTACAACATACCTTTTCGTGAACGCTTGATACCGCGTTAAACCGTTTGCAATGTTTGTCGAAAATGAACTATCGATATATTAACATTTAAGGGACAAAAGCGTCTAACCGACTTCACACAATTTAGCCCACGTATTTAAAAACTGATAAGGTTGCTTTACCAAAAAGACAAAATTAAACTTAAACCTCCGTCCACAAAAGTCCGTTTTTGGACCAAGTTAAATGTTCTAGACTTAAACTTGTACTTGAATATTGGAAGAAGAACAATATTCGAGTACAGGCTCAAGTCAAGAACATTTTCCTCGGTACAAATTCGGACTTTTCTGGGTGTGGGTGTGTTACTGTTAAAAGCATCCAGCAAATTTCACGGTAAGCTGAAGTCTAGGAGCTTAGGACAACGAAACACAGAACTACAGCGATTCATTTCGTTTCAGGAGCCGACTCCGTCTTGTCTTGGTCGCAAAGCGGCAGGAACGGATCGGGGCGCAAAGGACTGCGCTCTTAATTGTGCGCCATACCGTTGTAATGAGAAAGGAGAGATACAACAGGGATCGCGCGGGACCGACACACACACACACACCCTTCTCTCTCCCTCGCCCTCTCTAGCACCCACACACGCATATGCAGCACCACTTTACCAGCCGAGGTTATTAATATTTAGAAGCTTTCTTCGGCTGCTCTATTTGTGAGTCATTGTAATGAGGGAGTCCTCCTCTGTCTTTCTGTCTGCATACTCTCTCTCTCTCTCTCTCTCTCTCTCTCTCTCTCCCTCTCTCTCTCTCTCTCTCTCTCTCTCTCTCTCCCTCTCTCTCTCACACACACACACACAAACAGGGCTTTTTCTTACTTGTCTCACCTCTGTTGGTATGAATCTAGCCAGACGCACCAAGTAAACTAACATGAAAGTCCAGAGAAGCAGAGTGGCTGCAATGGTCCAGAGAAGGAAGAGAGGTGGAAGGGTGTGAGAATGAGAGGGGGGAGACAGAGACAGTGAGACAGAGAGAGAAAGAGCATCGATCAATCTCCCCGCGTCATCAGTAGCCCCCGCACAGACGCGGCTCGCTCTCTCACACACACGCACACACACAGAGAAACACGCACACACGCATACGCCACAAATCCTAGCGGAAGCGCGCCCTCCGCTCTGGGGTTATTAATATTTTCGTCTTTGTTGTGTGGAAATGCATTCTTGGCAGCCATTGTTGGGCGCGCGGCTTCTTGACACCTCTCTCCCTCCGTTTCTCTCTCTCCCTTTCTCTCTCTCTCCCTTTCTCTCTCTCCCTCCCGGCTCACTGATGCGGTCATCATAATGAGGATTTGCATCATTGACCACACACCCGTTTGTGTGTGTCAGAGAAGGGACAGAAGGAGGGGCCAGAGAGAACCGGGGCGTTCCATCGCAGAGGTGTGAAGAGAGTTAACACACCACGGCAGACACACACAAGAAAGAGGGAAGAATGATGGAGGAAAATGAGCGAAGGGTGACAGAAATGTGTGAAGAATGAACGTGAGTTAGGTCCCGCGCCTTGTCGCCTCTATGCCCCCCCCTCCCTACCCCCCTCACTCTCTCGCTCCCTGTGTGCCTCTCTCTCGCTCTCTCTCTCTCTCTCTCTCTCTCTCTCTCTTACTCTTAGCAGCACCAGTGCGGAACGAGGACGATGACTTCTCTGGTGGTATAGAAAACGTCGTGGGATCGAGGGATTTATTTTTGAGGTAATGTTTAGAGAGGCCAAACGTATTTTTGACACAATAAGCGTTGTGTGGGTATTTTAAACGCCTTATTATTATGATCAAGTTACGAAACAAACTATCAATTCAACGAAAACTAATTATTAAAAATAAGCCAAGATCATTGGGCTGAGAATTCGTTGTTTTTTTTAAATTCACAATAACTTTGAGTGTGTGTAGTGTGACAGAGAGAGCGAGGGAGACAGAAAGCAACAGAGAGAGATAGAGAGAGAGAATGGGGACGGCCATGGTTGCCTTGTGATCCTTCTGCACTCACAGAGTATTTTGTAGCGCCCTTTCGCTCGCACTTCGTAGAGACACTTCGGCAGTTCTCGCGGGCGCAGAATGATGTCAAAAGAACACTCGGTGCGTGCGAGACGGAGAGACACAGGGACAGAGAGAGATAGAAGGGGGAGGGCGCACAGAGCTATGCTCTGTGAATGCCGTGCGCGAGTTCTTTGTTTGTCCGTCGGTTTTGATTCTTTGTCCGTCTGTGTGCGCGCTGCCACAACGGCTGTGTGAGGAGGGCCTGTCCCGGCTAGGTACGGCGCTCGTACAAATACACCGCGGCTTAAATGTACACACCGAAAAAGACAAAAGTTTTCTCAGTCCATGTGAACATCCTACAAATTTTTCAGGCAAGGACAACATTTTCTGATTTCAACCCTTTTATCCACTTGTTAACAAAAAATTTAATTATAAGGAAGTCAATAAGGGGTTAAACTTACGAAGTTTGCCTTACGAATTTGATGCGGTTCGGTTCATGTATTGGGGAGAACCCAAGTGTGTGCAGTTGCATGAGACATCTAATCCACCGCCAAGGTACCGCGATGTAAATACGCTTTTGTAAAATAAAAAGTTGTTTACTACTAAGGACGTCAAATATTGAAAAAGAAAAAAAATTCTTCGAAACGAAGGACGACAGATATTTGTGTCGTGTGGCAGTACAAAAACGCCAAGTCCTGCTAGTCTCTGATTTTGAGATACTATCAATTCCTCTTCTTTTCCTAGTTTCTTCCTACCTCAGAGTCTCCTTATCTCTCTCGCTCCCTCACTCCCTCTCTTATCAATAAGGCGACCACCGCTGGCGCCCTGACTCAGGCGCCGGCTTCTATCTCATCATTGGCCACTCACCTGAAGCTGCCGAAGCATCACCGCCAGCTGATGCTCCCCCCGCAGCTGGATCGAGGCAGCGCTGTCGTCCGCTGGCTCCTCAGGAGGGCACCTGCGCACGACAAAACACACGTTTCCTTCTTTCGTCCAACAAACACTGCGATGCGACGCCTCCAAACCTCCAGAGGTCTAGGTCTGGACCGACATGGGTGAAGGCGGAAGTCAAGTCAAGTCCTTAATGGCGTCAACGCTTAACCTCCCGCTGCTGTGCACTGGCCGACACTCGAACAATACCGAAACGTTAAACGCCGGGCGTTAACAGATAATATTCGCTTAGAGGACTAAATGAAAAGTTAAGAATCAAACTAGGAATACGCACATGCTGAACGGACGCTGGTCGGGAGTCGACTGAATCATAACATTGTAATGCATCGCAATACGGCAGTCGATAAGGGCAGAGGCGGGAGGAGCGAGGGTGGGAGAAGGGGGGCGGATTACAGAAAATGAGAAACTGATAACGAGACGTTATGGGCGAGGAGGAGAGACAATTGAGAAGACACACGGCGACCTAGCCTACTGTGTGGCCAAGTCTCAAGAAGCTTTGGGATGATTTTTCGACGACGTGTCAAAGGAGGCTCTGCATTAATCTTTCAATGACGCTTGACGGTAATCTTTCAGTTCAAGTTACTTTTATTTTGCCAATGCGTCCTAAGGAGGATGACAGTCAAGAATTGTCAAGTCATGTTCTTCATGCTTTAACTGGCAACACTTCATGGTGAAACAATTCACACTAAGAGAGAGAAGTGTAACTATCGGGAAATTTAATCTACAATCGGATTTGCAGAATGTGCAAATAAGGCAATCAAACTTTGAATAGCTTAGCTCGATTTCATCATAAAATTCCAATCAAAAATGGCATCATATGGGGACAGAAAATTGATCAAACTTAAGCAAAGTTAAGTGACGCAATCAAAGTAAAAGGGTAAAGCAGTTGTAAAGGACGGATTAAACAAGAGCACTGAAAATTGTATTAGCAACTACGTAGTTGCTGTTAAATATACATACAAATAACTAAACAACGGGATACGATGAGACGCAGCACGTCTGACCTTTCGGACAATGCCTGACATGCGTGGCGACGCACTCCCAATTCATTCTTATCGATACGAGAGTTCGTTCCCATTGAGTAGTAAAGTCGCGGGTGGCGCGAGACGGACGGCCCAGGCAGCTAGCACGTGATTGCCGCACGTGGTCGGAAAAGGGGTGGGGGTGGGGAGGCAGTGGACGCGCGGATAGCGAGACCAAAAAAAAGGCTCTATAGCCAGCGAGAATCTCTCATCTTCGGAATTGCGTCACGCCACGGGTGCGACAGGTGTGACATCATCTGATAACAGTGTCTCACTCACCCCGCCGATATGTGGTGGTCGCCCACCACCGCCTCGTCCCGCATCATCTTGAACGTGAGCCGCTTCAGGACGTGGTCCATGCTCCTCTTGCTGTGGAGGTTGTTGTTGTTGATCGAGTTGTTGTTGTTGTTGTGGTTGAGGCCCGGGGACGGCAGGGAGCTCTCCTCATCTGCTGGACACACACACAAATATTTCTCCCTTAAAAACCATCGAGTCCGATTATTGAATGTACGCGTCTGTTCGAATGTGCTCACCTGCAGAGCATTTTCTTTTCGTGGGAATGTCATGGTGATCGACGTCAACTTCCTGAAAAAGGAGACATTGTCAATTATTGAAAGCCACCATGGGAGAATCATGGAAGGGTAAAGGCGACAGGGAAGTAACATGAATCAGTAAACATACCTGTTCGATCAGACCGCCAGATTCACAAAGCGGGACCAAGTCCACCAGCTCCCGCAGCTTGGTCGGAGGGGACTTCCGCTTTGAAGCCATATCGAACTGAAAATGGAAACAGACATAGAAAGTCTTCATTAGATTAAAATTCATTCTTTTTCCCACCTCACATCATTATGCCCCATTAAAAACGACCTCAATTTAAACGTGTTTAATCATAAGTGTTTCGTTATTTTTTTCACAAAATAGACAATGTTATCCCCATAAAACAGTTGGTTTGTCTGAATGTTGACGTGGCACAAGTTTTTTCACAAACACAACCGCAAAGAAAATGAGAGTGTTGACGTTGACCCAGAGAGGAAACGCGCCCTGATTCAAATGCCAAAATGACATTGCAAATGTGCAGATTCCAGTGAGGAAATGAGTTTTGAAAATACATTGAATTTGAAAAATTGTCGATTTGGAAGGGAAAATCGAATTTGCTTGACCATTCGTCAAAGTTGCATTTCTCACTGGGAATTTTCTTCACATTGGCTGCCCATGCTACACTCAGAAACCCGTAACCTAGAAAAGATACGAGAAAATTGTTTTCTTGTCCTAAAGAAAATTCCTAGCAAAATCACTCGAATGAAAGATCTTTCTACAAATTAAGGCAACATTTATCCCAAGATAAAAAGTTCAAAGGAAACGATTTTCTGGTTATGGCGGTGTGCGCTTTTCAATGAGGCCGATCACGAGCAATTAATGTGGGCATTTCGACTAATCGTTTTAATCGGCGATACAACAAAGTCTGCCTGGGCCGCGTGGTTCCCAATTGCGTCACTCGCTTTCACGTTATCGCGGCGAGAGGTCCCCGCCACCGCGCGCCTCACACAGTAACCTAGTCCAAGAGAGGACCATGCCAAACAGAAATTTGCCTATAATCTCTGCAGACGGAACAACTTTGCACCCAGAAGAATAAAGAGCCAGTCATCGTTCGGCATAGTTCAAGCCCCTAGGCGCAACTACGCCACCTACAGCACCCCTTCTCTAGGGTCAGAAGCCACGGGAAGTTTCCGGAAAATTTCCAGGCAAAAATGGAAAATTTTCCAGACTTTGGACGTTTTCCGTTAATTACCGGAAATTTTCGGGATTTTTTTCGGAAATTTTTCGGAACAATTTGGAAATTTCCAACCCTCATACCTACACTCTCCTACGACAGCACCCTCCTTCTGTTCGCCACATATGTGATTCCTTTTGCACGCCTGTTTACTCAGACGGACCCCTGTCAAAGCAGCTCGCTCCAATTAGCTCACAAGGAATCACTGATCCTCGCCTCTCTCTCCACGTATCTTGAGCGCAAAACACACACACACAGTCACACACGGGAGTGACAACACGCACAAGCAACAGAACGCGCGCCAGCAGCTCCACCTCTCCAAACCCTTTCTCCTAATTTCCTCGTCTAAATCGAGTTACGCCCGTGTCTTACGGCACACAGGCGCCGCCGACCTCTTGCTGCTCGGCGCCCTGCAAGGGGGAAATGACC